CGTGCCACTAGTTCAAACATTACATAAGTTTATTTACATAATCTGTTCAAAATATGCATACAGCAAATATAATACACTTGTCTACCTTGTAAAACGACGTCATAATATAATCGGAAGAAGTTGAAACTGGTTTTATATCAAAGGTTAGTTAACCTATAAAGAAAATATATTAAAGAATGACATCTATTAGATATAGATGATTGTGCCAAATCTAATTATATCCAACGCATAGGTACGTGGCACATAACATCGCGATGCCATATTAAAATGCCTATTTGTATCGGTTCATAGATTTGAGCTTCACATATGCGAAGGGTTTATGAAATACGATCGTATTTAAACACTCTCAAGTTCATACTTGATGCTAAGCATATTTTATATATTAATCGTTAAATGATACTTGTATATTAATAAAGACAATGTACCTATTATTACGATGACGTTTGTAATTTTATTTTAATGATATCTAAATTTAAGTCTAATTAAATTTGTATAGTTTGTATGCATCTTAAAGTGTACGAAATAAGACTATAAATGGCATAACTAATCGAGAAAATTGTCTACACATGTTTGTTGGCACATACACGGACTTTTGTTGCAAAATTTCCATGACCGTTCTGTATAATTGTTACTGAATTTCGTTCATGCTATGTTTAATCTCATCTTCTAATTCACGTTTGTTTATAAATCACAGACAAAATCAGAAACGAATAAATCCCATAGAAAATCTTAGTGGGACATTTCTGAATATTGAAAAAAGAATAGGATGATACTTCTTAAGCAATGATAGATTAAATTTGCAGAAACTGTGGCATGTTGCACCATCCTGTTGAGACTATTTGTGTGTGAGATTGGAATAGATACGCTAGATCCTATTTTGGGAATAACAAAGTAAGGATATCAAGATGAACTTGTGTTTGAATTTTCGTTCATTTGTTAATGCTCAATAAACTATTTCACGAAAACTCTTTGGATGTTCAATATGCTTCAGTCGAATTGCTCATGAAAAATTTGAAGGATTTTTCGGCAGTTTGCACTGTAAACCGGTTTTTGTAGTTGTTGTACGATTTCGAAATGTTTCGTCAGAATTTTTACCACCTATAACTGGCTGGTTCAATATTAAATTCATATCAAATTTTGAGACTGTTAAAGTTTGGAACCTCATTACATTGATTGCTGATTTTTCATTAATTTTTTTATATAAAACTCTCGACCTGCTCCCAAGTCCCAACAATCATTACTTTAAAATTTCCATTCACTGCTTTTTCTAATAAATTTGAACAAATATTGGCAAGACGGCAAGAAACTCTTGCCATTTCGGGATATTGAAATCTCATTGTCGAATTCGAGTAAATTCTGATGCAAGTTACATTTTATTTTATACAGATAGTATAGAATATGCATTTATTTTTTATTTTTAACCGCAACTTAGGCTTGTTTCGATATCGGAATCAATCAATGGGTGTCACTTTACCACAATGATTGCAGAATGGCCACAAAATGACGATGAAATACGACACTGCAGCACATTTGCCCCCACCTAGCTGTTTACTCGGAAATCAATATCACTTAATATTACTTGATCCACTTTTAATACAGTCATAAATTAAGTTTGTTAAAAATTTATACATATACAATTTCTATACTTATCCGATAATTACTTATCCGAGTTCCGACTTCTATAGGGAAAAATGTACAAAATAACTATTACCAAGTCCAAATAGATAAAATATTGATTGTGTTCACAAAAAACAGAATATTAATGGTTAAAAAGATTATTGTGCATTCACAAAACAAACTTCGAGAAAATAAACAACGCTAAGTTAGGTAGAAAGTAACAAATGACAGTCAAAATAGAAAAATACATATTTTTTTATTGGCCTAGGTACTAGTTAATTGTAAAATATATATACACATTCTTATCACGGCTAGGTATACATTTTTTTAATATATAATAATAAAATTTGATAACAGGACACAGAGTATAATTATTGACCGTGACAATATCGATTAGTGCTTAACAAAACTTTTCATTAACACAATACATACTAGCGTTAACAGTTTTTCAGTAATCAACTAGCTTTTGCCCGCGATTTCGCCTGTGTTAGTTTCAGAATTAGAAATGTATTGCTGACCGCGTACACTCTATTCCGTCTTAAAGACAGTCAATAATAAGATTTTGGATTTGATCAACATATTTTTTCTCAATCGGATGAAAAGTATCCTATGACCTTTCACAAATATTTAGCCAAATCCGTACATCTATTCTTGAGTTATAGGTAAATAGTGTAACTAACACTTTCTTTTATATATAAAGATTAAACATAACAGTATCAACGTAGTTTAATGAAACAAAAACGGTAATTCGTATGTGGCGTGATGAAAGCTTGTATTAAACACAGAACAATATCATTATTTACTCCATATCTTTATTATTTCTATCTCCTACTGTCCTTTATCGATATTAACACACAATGATAAATATGTTTATTATACTTTCGCTTTGTTTTCAATGTCTAACGTTATCAACACTCGACATGGGATGACATTTACAAAAACAGTGAGTACTCGTATTAAATGGTCACATATAAAAAGTCATTTAATTCTGAACAAAGACACATTTATGATAAATACATTTAAATACATATTATATATGTTCAAAGATAAATTGTTACAACGATTTGAGTGTTTTAATAGTCGAAATCATGTAGTATTTAGTAATAATAGTGGTTTTATTATCACATTTGAAACGAAAACTAATATAAATCTATTAAGTTAGTGTTAATAAGTGGTAGTTGTTATTTAGTAGTAGTACTTGTTAGTAGTTAGTGTCAACATTAGTACATAATCGTTTATTCAATAAAATTACTCTCAGTTATCACTTCGGCCACGGTCGATTCGGCATGTATATTAACCATAAAAAAAACAATATCTATATTTACGTCATTACTGTATATTTAAATAAACATATTATATAGTATCATCGTGACGTCAAATATGCATATATTATCTTTGAAAAACCTTACTCTAATAACCCTAACTTCTGTTAAATTATATTGAAAATTAGGTTTATTCATAAAAATCCGAATCGATTACTTTTGTACGTCCATGTTTCTTTTATAAAACTTCTCTTTTTTAACACGACCCGCCAATATCTACTTTGTTCGCGAAATAACGTCACGATTTCAACTGAAAACTTCATTTTTTCACTCCATTAAATCTTATATGAAAAAGATCGTACTCTAAATTTTCCTTTATTTGTTCTTTTCCTACGTCATATTAGAAAGTACGGATATAATGCTTACTATATTAAAAGGAAAACGTTTAACTAAATCCATTAAAACACTTTTAATTCGTTTCTTTACCAGTACTTTTATATCCTTATATCAATATTACATGGTGATAATTTTATCAATCTTAATAATTATTGAATAGTTATCTACAACCTTAATATGGTTTATCAATTCTTGCTTAATACGTTTTATTTGTTAAAAACAAGTGCAACTCTTTGACTGCTGTCATGTAATTTAAAAAAATTTAAAATTACTTTTTTTCCTCTCTTTAATTTTAAAAAGAGAATTTAATATTAAAAAAAATCGCAAAAGTTACTGCCAATGTGATACAAAAAAAATATTTTTTTTATTAAAAAAAAAACAGTGTCTATTAATGTTGGTTTAGGAAGTTGAGAATCCGTTACGATTTTCTATTTGAATACCAATAGGTTGAGTTGACTCACTATTAAAACGGTACACCACTACAATAGACTTATTGTAAACTTTATGTTCTAAAAATATCGTTTTTTCCTCATCAAAATAATGAAAGGAAAATTAATTACAGTAGTAAAAAATCATATAATCTTAATAAATAAGAAAGTACATACTAATGATGATATATAAGTTTTCATAAGTATGTAAATGTATAGAATTTCATTTGATAAAATTGATAATAATATCTGATAAATATTATCAAAGTACATATATCCTAATCAATCATAATACAATTTCAATTATTGGCCTTGTAATAAATAATTAAATATTACGTGACCTAGTCCCACAGATATCTAACTTGTTTAATAAGCGAGCGCTCCATAAATTAACTATCCCTAGAACTAGTATTAAATTGCATTCATTTTGTGTAAACCAATTTCCATAGACCACTATAACATGAATTACATTATTGAATTGTTTATTTTATTCAGAATTCAATTAAAAAAACCATCTTTGTGAGATTCGAAAAGCACGCGAAAACGGTTATAATTTAAATATTAAAAATATTATTTCCGTTCAAAAACATATCTTAATAACAGAATATAACGTCTTAAAATTAATATATGTAGTTCTATTAATGTAGTCTATTCGACATATATAGTACATATAATTATATATCTTCCCAACTAGTTTAGTAAAGTTAACTGTCTAGTTTTTAGTCATTGACTGAGTCTACAGTCCTGACATTCAGAATATTAAACAGCTGGTCGAGTGAATGACTTAATGCATACTATTTACTTTCACAGTCTTACTTGCTTTATAACTTAAATGTTACCAATAGTATAAGAATCTTATAATATTGGTAACATTTTTTAAAGGAACAGGTAACTGATTTTTTATTTGTATACCGAACCCATCAGATCAGTGTAACAATTAATGTGGCTTAAAACAAATTAAACCCACGATATTAAGGCCAGTGGTTCAACGACGCCATTTCTTTGTACTAGACCAGCAAACACTATGACGCATTTATTCCCTGATGCGGACATATTAGTTATTTTGCATATATTAACTATTTTACGTTTCTATCAATAAATTATTTTTTAATCATAAAACAACTGAAAATAATCCAAATGTAAAGACGAAATTATGATAGTGGTTCATGAATTTATTATTTAAGATTTAAAGAGTTTAGAATTAGGCAAATTCTTTGATATCATAAAAAGAATCGTGATTAATAAACGTTTTTTTTTTCAGGTATCCTCTTAGTAGCTGTAAATTCAAGGAGCTAAAATGGTGAATGTGAGTATTTTTATAATTATTATCTAAAAAGTATGATTTCTTTTCCTATTTTTCGTCGTCCTATATTAAACGTATAAAAAGAGTACCTATAAATTATTCCATTTAATGAAAAATAAACATTTCGTTAATAATCTTTTAGAATACTGCAAAGTGCAACATAATTTCGAAATCGTATTTTTAAATAACAATTAAAAAGCACAGTTACTATAGTGTACCTATTAATTTTAATGCACCTCCAAGCATTAAAAACAGACATTAAATATTGTTGAACACGACTAGAGAATAATAATTAACAATAAAATATACATGTACATGGAATGAGCGAAGTCATTGCAATTACAAGCGTCTTGTAACACTTTAATCGAACCGCTTCTAAGATTTTAAGTATATTTAAAATTAACCCAATACTTATTAGATTATAATAGTGAGATATAAAACTGTCGCGAGTTTCAATCAGTTAAATGAAAATAATTTTCGGATATTAGTTTTTCCCAGAAAAAAAGTCGCGTAATATAATCATTATAATAGTTTTGTCAATTTGAGAATAACTTACGCTCGTATTTTTACATATATATAGTAAACTTAGTCCAAGTTTACATCGTCACTACATACGAAGCGTCTCCCGTTTTTCATAAATTCTACGTCAATACATTGTGTAGAGATTTATAAATTACAAACTATTAATTCTCCGTACGTAGCGTGACGCTAACCTAGACTAAGCATATTGATGTCGTTAATACTTTCACGCTAACAGCTAAATGCATTTTAGTAACTATAAAAAGTAATACATAATTCTCATAATACTTAGAAGCACTAATTGCTACACTCCCTTTTGAGTAATACAGATATAAAATTTGAATAGGCAATAACATTTGATTGAATGTAATGGAAATAAATAAAATTAGAAATACTTCTAATTAAGTAAGCTATTAGTCAGTGAAAGTTCGATCAGAAACTTCAAACTGTCTAGCCCATTTCGAGAGCAGATGAAAAAAACATACATAATTATTTTTATGTTACAAACAGACAAACAGATTTTATCTCTCTTTATATGAGACTATTTAAGTAAATGATTATCATTAATAATTTTTTCATAATATTTTAAACACATAATAATAAAATTACTTTCGATCGTTCGTGCTCGTGTTGAATGCTTTCTATTTCTGATTTAACATTAACAGGCGAGCATAGTTTATTTAAACTGGAACTTAAATGGTCATTCATCAGCCTTTAATTGTCCGAGGTCCTCTCAATTGCTGCGATGCCGTACCAATGAAAGTACAAATATCCTTGTCAAATACGAACAACTAGTTTCATACATTTTAATAATTTTAAATAAAATTATATTACATTTATCCTTATAATACATTTTTGTACTAATAAAGTATTAAACGATTAAATTAGTTTATCTTATGGTATATCATGTTTATGGTATGTAATTTATCTATGCAGGAGTCAAATGGGAACGTGGCTCCTCCCCAGGAGTTAGAGACCTTCCTTCCACACGATGAGAAGAAAGATAAAGTTGAGAAAAAGTGAGTATCGGAACCTTAACTTTGTTACGTGTTTTATAACTTGTAAAGCCATAAAAATAGTTTTAGTAATGAAGTGTACGTATCAATACAACACAAGCCGGTTTAATTGGCTTCTTGGTTATATGGCCTCATTCCTGTTAACTGAAAACTCGACCTACATTCGTTATACACAATAAATTATTTTGGTTACGTAACTATATGTAAAAATCAATGAAATTTTATCTGTTTGTATTTAAGATATAACCTAACTAAAGAAAAAGATGTCGAAGAGGGTGATTACGATCCGTTTGCTGAAAGAAAATTGGACAATCCGACCTCGTAAGTAAACTTAGATGATTGAAATAAATTAATTGTTACAATATATTTATTATAATCTATTTCCTCATATAATGTTATGCTCGTAATTATAATTACGTCCTGTTTGGAACGTGTAAAATGTCATAAGCCGCCATGGAAGTAATTAATGTATGAAATATCGTAAAGATAGTGGCTATCTTAGTAATTAAATTATCGATACTTACAGCAACATGGACACACTAACTCACTTACTGAAGGCATCTTTGGGTACCGGTATTCTAGCTATGCCAAAAGCCTTCCAATGTTCGGGGCTTTTAGCGGGAATTTTCTTCACGATTTTGGTCGCTGTAGTATGCACTCACTGCGCATATGTCCTTGTAAGTTACATTCATTTTTAATAATAAAAATGTATATAAAAGCAGTTTGTTGCTACGCAAAAATCCGTTTTATTTTACGACGATAATATAATTTTTATTATATGAAAAAATTTCATACTTGCAGCCATGCGATTGTAATTCTTTCTGCTATGTGTTTAATGTATGACCATATGATGCTATTGCTGAACCATTGCGATATCTACACAATAATATTGGTGCGAAAATCTATTTACTTTGTTTGGCGATAATTTTCACTATACATAGATGGGGATATATGCGATTATTTATCACTTTTTTTTAGATCAGTTTATAATAAATGTTTTTGAATAAAAGTTACATCAATTTATTATGAAAGTTTAGTTAAAAAAAACTATTGTGTTTATTTTATTTTGGTTAACTTTCAACATTGGTGAAATTAGAAAGCGAAGCATTGCGTATTATCATCTGAATGACGTCATTTGTGAGGTATCGGCTTACGTATTCATTGACTTTTGTTTGATTTAGATAAAATGCGCCCACGTCCTATACTACAAGACGAAAAAACCAACAATGAGCTTTCCGGAAGTTGCTGAGGCAGCCCTGGATAACGGTCCCCAATGGGGAAGAAGATGGGCATATACTTTTAGGTAAATTGAAAAGTTGACAACCCTAAGCCATTGTACCCAATGTACATACACATTCTAATTTAATTTACTTTGATCACGCATGGTCCATTTTGTAAAAATAATCTTATTCATCATAAATACAACTCTAAAAACTTATATTTTATCAATATTACGAATGTAAAATTTTGGTGTTGAAATGTCATTTATAATTATTTATGTTAAAGAATTAATATAAATTGGTCGAAACATAACCATTGTTTGACGCTAATTCCGTCGCCACCAATTCTGTGTATGAATACGTTAACCTTTTGGTGTTTTCAACGATTTTTTGAATTCCATTGATTAAATTATATTTTAATTCTACCAAAAACGTAAATAAAAATGGCTAGCGAGGAAAAAAAATATTTAGCCATCTTCTTTGTGTGTCATTTTTATAAGTGACATTTACATTTGATTTAACCGGGTGTGCTAATACATCGCATTATCTGAATTTCCTTTTGCTTGTAGTTGTGATAATGCTGTGTTACGTATTCGCTATTTTTATAATAAAAAATGTGTATTACGTAAAATTCTATATATAAAACTATATTTATTTCTTTTTAAATAAAAAAAAAGGTTTATAAAATAAATTTAATTATATTTATTACAGAATCTTCATCTTGGTCAGTCTGTTCATAACGTACTTTGGTACGTGTTCGGTGTACGCCGTTATAATTGCTGAAAATATTAAAAAGGTGAATATATTTAGGTTAAATTTCAATAAAATAATATTTATAGGTACCGTAGTTTTTATGGATCATATAGTAAGTGAACCATAAAGAAAAAAATGTGTTTTTTTATCTTAGCCACATCCGATCATAATTATTCTCATTAAAGATATAGCTTAGCTGATTTTATAACCTTCATTACTTCATTAGTATAACACTTAATATTATCTTTATATTCTAAGTTCAGATCTTATTTCAAAAGGTCAAAGTGCTAATGACGCCAGACGGAGTGTGGAAATATTTTATATTATTTACTAATTATTGTTTATATTAAAATGATATTAATACGCTTGTTATATTTCCATACGTTATCAAGATCGCTTAACCTATTGCTATTAAACCTACGTCATCACAAACAAATACGACGAAACGAGTTAACAAAAGAAATAATCTTTATCGAACACAAATAAAAAAAAAGAAATAACGTCACACAAATATATATAATATGAAATAAAAATATTCCAATGCTCAACGATAGATTGTCTTCAAAATTAATTTCGCGCCTTCAATAAGTACTCTCAGATTATATGTTAACTGCCACAGTTATTGTAGTTACGTACAAATGGCAGTTTGTCATAACACGCCTCGTTGCAAGACATTATTTACAAAATCATATCATTCAGTTTATATTTCTCTCATCGGAACAACTATCTTAAACTAGCTTATGTAAGCAACTTTCTGTACCTACATCATAAGTAAAACTAAATTTTGATTTACAGGTTGTTCATTTCTATTGGGAGAGCACCCAAGAAAACTTCGGGATACGGATATTTATCCTCTTAATACTCCCACTGCTAATCTTTATGGCATGGATCAAGAATCTTAAATATTTGGCGCCGGTATCAATGATAGCGAATTTATTTATGGCTGTGGGCCTCGGGATAACGTTTTACTTCCTCGTCGGCACCGGATCCTTGGATTTCGGGAATGTTGCAGCAGTGAAGCACCCCAGCGAATGGCCGCAATTTTTCTCCCTCACGATCTTTGCTATGGAAGCAATCGGTGTTGTGATGCCTTTGGAAAATTCTATGAAAACTCCGCGCTCCATGCTTGGTTTCTGCGGAGTTCTGAACAAGGGAATGTCTGGTGTGACGATGGTGTACATTCTTCTTGGATTCCTGGGCTACCTCCGATACGGAGAGTTTGTACAAGATTCGATCACGCTCAACTTGGAACCTCATCCCGACGATCCTAAGATTTATGAAGTGTAAGTTATATGCAACAATCGAAATAAACGATACAGTACTTTTTTTTGCCATTTTGGTCCTTAGAGCCGGAAATTAGTAGTGAATAAAACAACGTATATAATTTTTCTGTCCCTAACAATTTATTTTCTCAAATTCTATAAACGATATTTCGTACAGTAGTTTTAATAACATGAGTAATAAAGCATATAATCCTTAATCAAGTCTATTTTTGTTTACAGTCTCGCTCAAACCGTTAAGATTTCCATCGCCATCGCCGTATACTGCACGTTTGGTCTCCAATTCTTCGTCTGCATCGAGATCATGTGGAACTGCATGAAGGACAAGTTCACACAACGGCCGGACCTCGCGGACTACGTGATGCGCACGATTCTGGTCACAGTGTGCGTTCTTCTAGCCGTGGCCGTGCCCACCATCGGTCCATTTATGGGCGTCATCGGCGCGTTCTGCTTCTCCATACTCGGTCTCATCGCCCCCGCTTTCATAGAAATCATCACCTTCTGGGATATCGGTTTCGGTCCTTATAAATATCTCATATGGAAGAATCTGCTCGTACTAATTTTCGGGTTATTCGCTCTCATCTTCGGCACCATAGACGCCTTCAAAAGTATAATATCCGTGTACAGCGCACACTAGCACTAAGAGCGAACATGTAGTATATTAGTAATTTCGTAAGTTAATTTTTAAGATAGCAATTGAGACTTCGTACGTCTAACTGACATTTTACAACGTTCTGAAATGGTGCTTAACGGATCATTTATTATATATAAAACATTAACAGTTTGCATGTGATCCGTTAATTTATTGTTAATTGGATTATTGTATTTCGATTGCATTCCCAAATGTGGCGCTGTTTTTATTAGAGCTGTCATAGCTTTATTAAGTGTTCTAACGATGTCTCATGTTACGTGGTTACGCTGTGCCCACCCACATAATAACGTGATATTCTTATAAATAATTGATATTAATAAAAATAATTATTTAAGCGATTCGGATAACATCTAAAAAAATATATTTTACTTCATTTTAATGTCCTGTTTAGATCAAAATGTTAAATTAATTATAGTTCTAACTGCCGTCTGAAATAATTGCAACGGATTCGTGGACAAAACTCTTTAGATAGTATAGTAACTTTAAGATCAATATTTTATTATATTTAATAATGATTTTTTTTATTTAACCCCGACATAAAGATATAATGTTTCTGCTGTAGTTTTAAATGGCATTGATCGGTGATTATAAAAATTCCTGCCCTCGGTTTTATACAAATTGAATTTTATATTACGAAAGGAAATATATTTATTTATTTATTTATTTATTAATGTACCAAACATAAAAAATAGTTACATTAGAGTATTATAAAAGAAATGTCATGTACAAAGGATAACTTATCTCTTAAAAGAGATCTCTACCAGAAACCCTTTTGATAGAGGAAATGAGAAGAGAAATGTGGAATAGGTACAATAAAATGAGAAATGGAAAAAAGAAAAAAAAGAGGTATATAGATATATGTAAGAATACAAAAAAAAAAATATAATAGTATAAAATACAGATATTATACATACATAGATATATACATAAATATATACAAATAAACACAATAAATATATATATATATATATATATATATACAACATATACATAAATATATATAAGTACATAAACATTAACAACAACGAAAGGAAATATACTTATTGAGAGAAAAAAATATGTACTTAATGCCACGGAATTTAATAGTTTTATACGTCATAATGTCTAAGTGTAAAGGCATGTTTACACTTGTACATATACCAAATCATAGCTATGTGATATAAGAGAAAACAATGAAATATCCAGCGAGGCCTTCTTTACTAGATCATAGATATATGAAACAGTATTTTAGATCGAGTTTTAGTAGTAAAATGAAATATTAATTGAAAAGCAAACTTAAATCTTAATGGGGGACCATTTTTCGTTACGCTCTGCTACGTTTTTCGCATTTACAGATGTTTTTCAATTTATATTAGTCGTAAGTAGATACTGGCTTTTATATATGTTATTAGCTTTCGTATTGGGATTTTGAAATATTTGTACGCCCTATACATGAGCTGTTCTTTTTTTTTACAGATGGTATTATTTATGTTAAAGCCAACAAAGTTCCTATATCATAATTTTTATTTAAAACAAAAAAAAATATGAAATGGTGATTTTTAATAGGCAATCTGGTATTAAAATTTTATAATAGGTTCACGTGACATTTTCAAAATCGCAACTATAGTTATCGTTTGTAAAAAAATTACATTAAACTTCGTACATCTCCAAAAGAAAGTACATTGTAATGTCAAGTGAACCTACACATCAATTTTATGTATGTTTTAATTTTAAAATTGTTTTACAAATACAGAACAATTCCGATTCACATGCTTTTCATTGACTGTCACCTTATACCTATTATTTATTTAGGTAAGTTTTCAATACATTCCTGATGTGTATTAACACTGATATATATATCTTCATACAAAGGCTGCGAAAGACGAATCGATGAGTTAATAAAATCAATAATTAGCCTGTTTTTCTATCATATCATTGTTTACTTACGACCGTGGTGAGGTGAATAAAAACAATGTAAAATGTAGAAAAAAGTAATTGATTTTCTCAAGTTTAATGTGTTTTGTAAAAGGCGTTTTGTTCTTATATATCTAAGAATAGTTGTAGGTATATACTATACATAATATATTACACTAGAAGACCCGGCGAACTTCATATCGCTCTATAATCAAGAAATATCTGTTAGAATGATTGACATATAAGTTAGTTGTCAAATCTAATGTCAAAAAAAAAGTTTGTATGGGAAATGGAAAAGGGCTGTTTTTAGGGTTTTCCCGGAAATGAATCAATTTTTTTCAGCTTTTATACCTTCCCTGAACCTCCACGAACATTTCAAGACTAAGATAAGATAAATCCGTTCAGCTGTTCTCGAGTTTTAGCGAGACTAAGGAACAGCAATCCATTTTTATATGTATATAAGAAGATAGAAGATTAAGGTTCCTCATCATAATTCATAAGCCAATGGCCACTGCTGAGCAAAAGCCTCTTCTCACATGGAGAAGATTAGAGCATTAATCACCACGCTTGCTCAAGGCGAATTGGCGATTTCAAACTTATAATTCGAAATTATAAATCCAGTTTTCCTTCGATATTTTTCCTTCACCCTCTTTCAGTGTCTAAATATTGTTACAAAATACATATACCTTTGAAAAAATTACATCGGTACTTGCCAGGTTTCGAACCCGTGCCCTCATGCTTGAGTGTGCCTTAACCACTAAGCCACCACGACATAACTAACATTAAGGGTATAAAGTCAAAGAAAACACTAATTGGAATCTACAATTTATTTTAAACAGTACACAGCTTTCACATTGATACAAGCTCAGTTAAACCACCGACCAGATATTGGAAAATCAGTAAAAAATAATAATAATAATAAAACAGACAAAATTATACAATAATGCTTATAATTTATGGCTACAATAAAATACACACAAATAATTTTAATTTAAATGGTAACTTATAATACGTCTAACTCAATTCAGTACCCTTGGCGTGAGTTTTGTTTAATCGAAACATAATACCGTTTCGAATTTTTAATACATTATAGTAACGGTTATATTCAATAATCGTTGAATCCTTTGAAGGTTCTGCGTCCTGTTACTAAGGGTAGAAGCTTCAAGCTGACTTCACAAGAAAAACATCAATATGCTTAGCGAGCATATGTCACGCTACATACGAAGCTCATGTCAAATGATGGTATATTTTAATACTGTTTGCGAAAATGTATGAATGGTAAAACTTCAAAAACTCCGTAAGTAGTATAACAATGCTGTGTGTTAAACATACTGAGCTGAAATAAAAAAAAACTTAACTACTAATAAAAATATATTGCAATGAAAACTACTGTAAATAATACAAAAGTATTAATTCCAATCAGCTATGCAGTGAGAAGCGTGTTTGTATTGAATGTATGTTTCTTTCATACAGAAGTTGAATACGTTAATCTATTGTATGAATGTAAGCATCTATACTATAAACACATCATCCCGTAAACTTTAATAAGGCTTTTAATTATTGGAAGAAAACAGTTTACAATTTAATCACTCTGTTCGTTAATCTCAAATACATATAAAAGAGAATATAATTATGAATCGAATCCCTATAAAATCATTTCCATGGCAAATATAAAGATTTTTATCTATGTTTGATTGCTACTTATAAATCTAGAAAGATTTCAATAACTTTTTATATTTCATAAGTTCACACACTATCATTCTCCCGTGGCATTTCTCGTCTACAAATGCAAGCGAGTGGAAAATTTTATTGATATTTAGGAGCCGTATCTGCCACTAAGGTGATGTGCTTAACCCACTCACAGTATTCGAAACTTCAATCAAAAGTAACTATTAATTGTTAAATACTTTTCCGTCTAAATATGAGTATATAATGAATTAAATGATGTCTTATAAATAATTTATAAGTTGTATTTTTTATAACATCTCTTAGATTTTAGGCCGCGACGCGAAAAAAATATCGGCGAGAACATTTATTTCTAGCACCTTCGACTATTTATCACGATATCTATTTAATACATTATAAAATCTTTCACAATAACACTGTTATTTATTTCACATATAATAATATCGGTGTGATTTTTTTTTTTTCAATTTTGATCATACTAACACATACGTTATAATTTACAAATCGACCTAAGTTTCGTGTACACGGGATAAACTAACAACGTGTATGTTGAACACTTATATTGTAAGGCTACTTAAACTCTTCAAAAAAATCACTAAACTGTTGTCAAGAAATCAATGCTCAGTCTATATTCGAACAACTAACGTTTCTTAAACAATTATTGCTTCAAGTGTACTTATGAGGTCCTATATAGGGTTTATTATTTTATTTTTCTTCCACTTCATACGACTTTAAACGCTCCGCAACCTAACTTTGCTTACAACAGCGCTGAAGTGAGACATGAATATACACGATACGTAGAAGAGGTAGGCAGAATAATCAACCGTTTATAACAATAACAATAGATTTTAAAACTTTCACAGTTAAAAAATGTACATTTCTACACATGAATTTATCTATTTTTAAGGAAGGCATAGACATACGATCTATTGAAAATATATCCAACAAACTTTATATAATCGAGAAGATTCGTTAAAAACTAATCCTAATTATTATAATTTTCACGACGTTTATGTTGAACTAAACTCAGATAACACACAAAATGAAACTTACATACTATTGAGAGGTCAGAAAATTTTGCATTTATATACAATCAATGTGCATTTTTTTTCACTATAAAATAGAAAAAAAAGCCTCAAACAAACACAAAAAAATTCAATATGTACAATGAAATAGCTTTTAAAGCTGATTTCTACAAACAGCAGAGTCACTTTTAAACATAATATATATATTGTAATACTATGTTCTTGTACCGTATTTAATAAAACTTTAAAATAATTTGAGCATCAATTCTTTAAAAATGTCTGTAATATTCGATGTTCATTTATATCGTTATCATTGTAATGGGAATCGTTCTTTTTGATACATGAGATTTAGTATCGAATTGTAAGGACAAAAATCAATTGGACGGAAATGTAGAATGTTTTTGTCAAATCATACGAAATCTGTTGGGGAATAAAATCATTTCGTTGTCTGTTAATGAAGCGCGTTTGTATTTGCGTACAAGAGCTCTAGAACATTCGAATATTAAGTGAGTATTGGAATTAGAGGTAATAATAAAATAACAATATCAGTATAATAAAGAGTAAAGCTAAAACTAATAGACAAACTCTCACGCGACCTGACAATCCCTAGCAATATACCAAGCATCCATTCTAACAGAACACTATAGATCAATTATCCGGCTACAAATTAAATTACATTGGAATGTGCTTTAAACTTTTAATATTCTGTGTTTAAATAACGCCCTCGGTTTAACATCATACAAGCAACGAAGGCACACTAAAACTATACCAAGACGATACGAATAAACATCTACGTACCACTAGTCTGCATGACCACACGTCAAACGGAGAGTTAATAGTTTCTTCACCAATACATCGTCTTACTTGAAAGTATTATAAAGATTTATGAATGAAAATATTAAGACTCCATAAACATTGTGACGATTCAAGACTGTGGTAAAAGTGCATTTCGTAAACAACGATCGTATTGTCGAAGATTCACGAAAATCTACAAAATCTTCGTTTTTGATAAACCAATCTCGTAAGAGTACGGGTTATTGACCTTTCAGGCATGGACTAAATAAAAAGTGCGTTTTTATATATGCTAAGCAATAAAAAAAATATTGATACTTAAAAAAAATAATACAATTATCAATTACATTACATGTACATTTGCTTTCGTATTTGCACTATTCAAATATAATGCGTCATTTGTAAATAATAATAATGATGGCACATGTTTTTTGATATTTTCAGATATCGATTTCCAAATAATCAGTTCGAATAATAAAATTTATTATGATATATTTGAGCGAGGAATAAAATTTATATAAAAAACAGAGATTCCGTTGAAAGATCATAAGTGCCACATAATCACAAATCACAGAGATTTTGCTAGCCCTTTTAACAACTTAAAGGGCTTATTCAGATATTCCTACAAAAGGAATATTAAGTCTGCTAAAGAGAAATCTCTCATAAAATAGTTAAAATAAATTGTACTGCCACATTTAACGCTTTAAACATTTTCGCTTCTTGAAAGAATCGAAGCGGTTGTACTTGATGCATTGTTACAATGTTTTTTTAATAAAAAAAACTCCGACAAACTTAGAATAACAGTGGTGACAAAAGATTTTTCTATTTTCATCCTTTATCAATACTATATGAACATTTGAACATAGGTCCTCTAAAAAATACATACATTTGTTCAATAAAATCATTTCATGTTTTTCATATTATACAATTTTCGATTTTCATATTCGTAAACAATATCAGAAGATCGTCATAAGTCATAATAAAAATAATAATAAATATATCAATGAGATTATTACGATGTATAATCCTGTTAACATATAACTATAATATATATTATAAACTGAGAGACACGTCTTTGATTTTATGGAAAAGAGAAATGATAAATCATTTCAGGTTCCGAATAATTCTATATCCTGTAAGCTTAGCACGAGTTTCCATTGTCACTACATACGTAGAGTCTAGCGTTCAAACTCAAACTCACATTAATGAGCGAAGGTTTATAAACGTAACTGTTAACGCTCCGTATGTAGTGTGACAATGGAAACTTTGTAAATTTGAACCTATTGACAAATTATAAATAAGATCATAATGATCTCTAAATGGAGCAACAGCGAAAATAATCCGAAATTAATACAAATTTTGTTGGTCAACTTAAAACATAGATCAAATAATATTCTACTAATAAAATAATGTAATTTTTTCCACTTTAATATACTAAATACGCAATGACTATAAAAATTGTATTTTAATTTTTTTGTAAAATCTGAACGCGTAACGGAATGTCTTTATATATTAAAATATATATTTTGAATTATCAATTAAATGACATTGACACCTAAAATAATGTTGCAAGAGAAATTATTCAGTCTAGAAATTTTCTAACATGTTAAAACAAATCTAAAGCTTTGTTAGAAATAAAAAAATTAAATCTTTTTTTGATACGATAAAAATATACAATATTATTAATTAATATGTAGAATTGGAGAAGATATTAAAAATAAACTGATTTGACTGACTGATACGAGAGTATATTTGAAATGTATGATCGACTAAACATTTATTGATAGCACTCAAATTATGGCAATATTGCACACTTAGTCCGAGTTACATACGAGAAGTTTTCCTTTTCTATTCAATGACCTAAGTTTATAATATAGGGAGACGATTGATGCATTCATTTTTTCTCATGTCTAGTCCATTAGACTAGGCATGAAAAAATTGTTTATAGAAAGCCTAATAACATGGTTTAGTTGTAATCATGTGTAATATTAAACAGGGCTTTACATATATCCAATTTAACTATTTTTCGTTGTTAGGTATTTTGTTTGTTTAATGTATGCTTGTAAATTCAAGTGTTCGGACTTGATTAAACAGCGCAAACATTATTGAATGTCTCCTTACAGATTCTCTTGTAAATAAACAAAATGTTCAATTCTTTTGTTTATACATAGCCTGAATTAATCAAACAGATTCTAAAGTAAAATATCGTCTAGCTTCCTTTAAGGAAAGATTTTTTCTTTTGTTTTTGAATCATGCAAAATTAATTTTTTATATGATTCTCGACATCTATATCTAAAATATTTCGAATCATAATTTCACCATATAAAATTGTCATAATCTTGGTTCCTCGTATTTAATGTGAGTGCAAATGTTTACGTGATTTGAAATTAGCTTTCAAACAATCCTTCCCTACATTTTTGTAGGTATCAAAAATTTCACAATAAAATTAATGACCAATCCTTTTAAACTTTTTCATTATTAAACGACTTTTTAAGAGAATTTTTGAATCGACAACTATGCACTAATGCAAGTGCAACATAAAATTGCAAAACCATCGATGGCACTCACTAATTTACGATTTGCCGATATTTAGTAATCGTATAACCAGATATAAGAAAATCGGTCACCTTAACGAAATAATCATCATATGATATAAAAAAACATATACAAATATGGAATGAGATTCGGGACGACAATAGTAAAATAAATATTATCATAGCAACCTATGAATATACATATACAAAACACACAATAATAATAATACCTTTTTACTTTTCGTATTTTATTACTTTGCCCATTTTTGCCCAAAACAATTGCTTTCGGACATCTACCTCCACTTTTAGCTGAACTGATCAAAGCAAACTTGAGCAGTGTATTAAAATATGAGAAGTAAATCTAGAAAACGGATTATCAATTGTTAAATTTCGATGATTAATTATATATAAGGTGTTTGACTACTTATAGTCGTACATTCCTGGATGTGAGTCGATGTAGCGTGGTGCTATTATACGTCCAGAATCCACTATCGGCGTCAGAAGCTCCTCAGAGGAAACCTGTATCCTGATCCTATTATCCGGTACATTGCTGCCATTTGTGTAGAAGTTTAGGGAGACTGGTTTGTGGTGGTCGTATTTATACTTGGATGGACTGACCGGCTGCAGGTGTGAAGGGCTCGCTAGCGGATTGTAAGTCACGTGTATCCTTACCACGTCCTCGGACGGCGAGGCAGATGGTGGGTACGGGGTCGCCCTGGGCGTCGACTGGGCCGTCGGCACCCATTGCACGCTCAAACTACAGTTCCCGCAACTGTAATGTTCACGCAAATCAATTTTGTTTATATATAAAAATTTCATAACAGCCAGCTTTCTGCAACTACGCGAAGCCACTACGAGTGGTTGGGTGATACACAGTATTCACTCTAAAGCAAAGTGTTGTAACTCTTTTTGGAAAACAATTTTGATTTTTATCTTTTTTGGACACTATACAGATCATTACAGAATTCGAATTTACATCAATAGTTATACCGATTATAATCTTTGAGTCATTTATATTTTTCTGTCCATCTCTTCTTTAACCTGAAGCTATTACAAAAATTATTGATAAAAAACCAAACGTAACACACAATGAGCTGTTTCAAAGACTTAGCTGTACCTAAAACATTCAACACCGATAAAACATGTGATTACATCAAACACGAAACGTGCAATCAAACAACGTAACCTTCAAGTTAATCTCTACTGCGTATGAACAGCTTCAGACTGACTGAAAACAGATAACATCCGCAAACAAAACGAAGATGGTGGTCATTATATTGTGGTGTTTACATTTGATGGCATTAAAAAGCAATCGTTAGCCGATTTTACTTTACGATCGCTGCGGCATGAGCTTGGTTATCCAACAGTGAGCTACCGACCCACCTTACTCTTACCGAAAATCTGTTAAACTCAGTCTTATAATCTCCCGGACGTAGCTAAGTATATGTCTTAGTTTGTGATCGCCAGCTCTGCCACCGGATCGCTTTACTGCGGTCCCTTTGACCCCACCTTGAGTACCGGATATCATTACGACAATGCATTCAAACATCGATTATACATGTGTTACTCGTATGACATGATAAAGGAGGGGGTGGTTTGTGAGAGGTTCGTGATCTAGTGCATCTATCTCACCCATCTGACCCAGTGCCGTCGTCGCTGATGTTGCTATGGGTGTCCAGGGAATTGTCTGGAGCGTGGGACCTCCCGCTGGAGAAGACGCTGAGGTCAGCGGTGCTGGTGACGCTCGTGTCAGCTAGGGACCTCCTGGACCCCAAAACGGATACAGAGTCCTCGCACCGAACACCACTCGCTACGCCGCTATGATCTAGAAAACCACTACAACCTTGAATCCTTTATCTATACCCCTCAACTATGGTTCAACTTCAATGAACTTAGCTTTGGTCTTGCCACAAATTATAGCTATATTTGTCAAAATTAAATAATTTGATTCTATCATCGCTATTACTGAAATTAATTATGAATATTATATATATGAAAAATTACAGAATTTAAACTGAAAATTGTGATATAATTGGATATGTATTTGTGTATGTAAAACAAGGTCACCAATTTTGGCTTATATATTTAACATGATGTATATGAATGCAACCGAAACTAAGATAAGCAATTTGTAAGTGTGAACTGGCCACGAATTCAATATTTTATATACAAACAAACATTGAAGCATCGATGTCGTAAAAAACTATTTACTTGTTGTGTTTGTAATAAGGTTAATAAATATTGTTGTTGTGTCTCCGTCTTCTTGTTAGATTATCTGTCATTAAATACAACTGTCACCTGTCATCAAGATTGAAAATCTCTTCATTTTTTGATAACTTTACTCTCGTAAACTTTAATTTAATTTTACTGAAGTATCAAATTTATTTAGACCCGTGACATACTGCACAAATCTTTGTCAAATTTAAACTTTAAACGAGTCCATAGACTTAACATGTAAATATATTTATTCATCCAAAATAGTAATCATATTCTTACAGCGTCACACATCGACATTTCTACGGCATTGAATTTGTGACCAGCCGTTTAAAAAACACAAAAAACATGCAAAATACACTTACCTCGAGACGGTAACGCGCACACAATAAGCAAAAAATGTGCCCAAAAGAACACATGCAAGTGTGACAAAATGAAAATCTCTGCTCGCAACCTAATCGAATTTATAATATTAACAATGGTCTACCGTTCTCATTGTTTCCTTCGTCGATTTTTTGTATTGTCTTTAATCAGATAGTTCGGTGGTGTCTTGTTATAGGATGGGAAGGGTATGTCATTCAGGATGTTCATAGAGGCTTGGGATGTGTGGAGAGGTACGGCATTTTCATCTAAACGTAAAATTATTTCTTGTATTATATTTAATTACCAACTATTTAGAAACTGAAGACTTATTTTTATTCATATGGCAACACTGCTGCGACATAACGTGGGCGAGTGCTAAAATCTACCATGATATGTTATATTAAATATATAAGCGAATCGTATAAATAGAAGTGCTGTTTAAAATATCTATGTGATTTCTAAACAACTGTTACTTCTAGAACATACCATGAATAAGGTATATTGTAACTACTTTGACGTGTCTTCAGATCACAATTGGCGGCAAAACTAAAATAAAAAAATTATACTTTTAATGTGCCACCCAAGAACAGTATGACTAGGATTTATATTTCATCTAATAAAATACGTTGAAATAGACAAAAATATATATTTAAACTTCCATGTCTTCATTTTCTAAATGTTAATGACATTAACACTCAATGTTTTAGATATAAACAATATAAATAATACCATAAAAAGCAGACACAATGTATAAAAAAAAAAGATGATAGGGGTGGGTTTATGTATTGATGGTAATGACGAACAATTCAAACATCGATTAAAACGATTTCAATTAGGTATGGAGCAGAGATTCTATGATGATTTGACAAACAACGTCAAATAGCAACTGTTTTGACGTTTCAACGTCCACGTCACTAATTAAATAACCGGTACAATGTTATACAAACAAATCGTCCCAAAGTAAATATTTATGTGTTTGTTAGTATCAATAAGATATAGATGTCTCATTAAATTAAGCGTGTTAATTACTGCGTGTTAATGACATAAACCCACCTCCGTACCACCATACATGCTGGTGCACAAAATGAACGAAAAAAAATAATAAATACAGTGAAGTTTCGAGATACGGGGGTCGCGAGCATATGCTACCGTTACAGTGACACTAGCATACATCACATAAAACAACTAATAAAAACTATATAATACAACAAAACTAAATGAATTTTTATTTTACAGGAATCAAATTTAGCCAACGAAATGTATCGTTTGTACTGTTTAAAAAACTTATGTTCCGATCTCTAAGATGGCTGATTAAAATATTAAAATATCCATTTGATTGATTTTAATATATACTATAAATATAATATAGATTTTTTAAAACAATAATTAAGAAATTCTTTCTGTATACCTACTACATGAAGTTAGAATTTGGCCCTTCATATACTAATACTTAAATTCAAACTGGCTGCCTATAATGATATTATTAAAGTTATACCTCATATAATAATGTATCATCAAAATTGGCAAGAAATATTTAAATTAAACTATTATAAGGGCAGAAATATTAACAAAAAATATATCTATATTTACAGTCATGAATAGATTCCTTGTAATATCTTACCTAACAATTTAAATATTGAAATAACAATATCATATAAGCAACATACAAGCACCTCATTATATACAAACTTAACATCTTGTTTCACATAAATCTCCCATACAATTTTTTAATTTTTAAAAAAAGGGGAAACTTTTCCATATTGCATTGTTCAACAAATTAACTATGTGTAATTTAAATTTGATTTGTAAATTATTTTCAATATATTCTATTCATAACTCTGTTCATACATTAATCTATTTCAATTTGTGTGTAACTTCTTCGTTACTTTACATTTTCTTCCTATAATTAATATTATATTCAAGTGAGCTTCATGAACTCTCATTCAAGATTTTTATATGTGATTTTTATATCAGATCCTATTCAATAAACTTTAATAGTAAGGGTTTTATTCACCAGAATACTATTTAAACAATGTATCTCAAATACAGAGCATACATGATGTGTTTGATTTGTACTTGAAGGTAAATCACATATTTTATAAAACTAATGTAGAAATTAATAAGATTACCTAAAGAAAATGGCCAAAACAACATAATGGAATTTATAATACAAATATCTAACTATAATCATTAATTAACAATGATCAGCATGCATAACGATGTATAGACTCAGCGGAATATCAAGCGGCACAATTTTTTTCTATTCAACATCTGATTTAAATATAATCACAGTTACACAATAATGATATTACACACACACTACACACACACACATGTATACATATGTGTGTGTGTGTGTGTGTGTGTGTAAAAGTTAATTTCTTTCCTTAATGTATATATAAATCAGATGTCACTTTATAAATGTGTGAAGTGATCGGATAGGGAGTCATCGGTTGACAGTGACTCGTTACCTGACACTGTGTCACTTTGCGATACTCTCAGTTCCTGAAGCTCCAACGCTGCTTTCTCGCGTCTGGAACAAGTTGAATGTAATTGTATTATTAAATATGAAGAAAGCAGCAAAAAACATAAGAAAATGTGTAAATTTCTACCAGATAAACTATGGTCTTTCAAAATTAGGGTTTAAAGTACATATCTTTAGGGTATTATCAGAATAAAAGATATTCAATGATTAGATACTTAAGATATGATCCTAATAGGCATATTGCAGAAGCAGATTAAGCTAGCTCTGGATGTAAAGCCAATTATTTTATAGCCACTTCAATCTGGTGTGTTCTCTGAAGTAGGATTATTTAGAGAAGTTAAGTACTTTTATATGTAATGCATACAGTTCCTTTTTTTTGCTACATTCACTATATTTAACAGAAAATGTAATACTCAACTCTTCTTAAGCAGAAAAGACGAACAAGTTAAAATAAGCTGCATCCCATATTTCTTGGGCCATAGTTAAAACTATTCCTACAATATAATTATTCCTACATAGATATTCATTTTAAATTATGCTTATAATGGAATACAATAAGTCATACAAAAATAGTTTTGTATGATAATCCATAATCATCAAGTTTAATGACTATAAATATCAGGTAGTGTTCATATACTGATAATTTTTCTTTTATTACATACCATTAGTGTTTCTCGATGTCTATTGACAATAACATAAACAATTTAGACAATCTTTATAAACCATGAAAAATTACAAGATATTTGTGTGAACTTTCTAGTTTTTAATCACCGCTATCAATGATAATTCACATTTTTTTATAGGAGTATATAATGTAATTACATGAAATGATCTGATTCAACACAAAATTCAAGTTAGAATGTAAGGTATTAATTTGGAACAAATATGGTCAGAAAAGTATTGATTATTAAAAATCAATTTTATATTTGTAGTTTGGACTTATAATTTTTTTTTTAAGTATCTATTATCTTTATAAGTATAAAAATTTGACAGATAATCAAAACTGTTTACTATATTTTATCCCTACTAATATTATAAATGCGAAAGTAACTCTGTCTGTCTGTCCGTATGTCTGTCTGTCTGTCTATTACGCTTTCACGCCTAAACCACTAAACTGATTTTAATGAAATTTGGCACAGAAATAGAGTTGACTTTGAGAAAGAACATAAGATAAATTCTCTTGGAAACGCGATATAACCGAACTCCACGCGGGCGAAGCTGCGGGGCGGAAATTTTGTTTAAAATAAAGACTTAAAATTTTCATAACTTATTATATAAAAGTAACCCCTTATCATTAATAAAAGGCATAGTTAGTTAAAAAAAAGGGTGAATTGTTACAAAGAAATATTTACTATTTCATTGAAATATATCTTGGTTAACACACTTTATTATTACTGCATTGCTCTGCCACGTTACATTATTGTGCTATATACATGCATATGTATGTATGTTTGTATGTATATACATATGACTTACATACCTCAATATGACTGTAGCTCTGGCTTGCTTCTCGGTTTCGGAGAAATTTTCAGCCCTTTGACCTATTTTGGCCTTCTTGTCTGGCTCCACAAATGTCCCTAGCTGTCGTTGGGGCAGTTCCGAGGGCGGTGGCGGTCCCGGATAATCAATCTTGGCCCTCTTCAACTCATCCATGGAACGCTCCAAATGGTGAATGACTATATCGTCCTCGTAACCGAAATCTTTGTGAAGCTTAACCTGAAAACGTCAGCCAATTAACCATTTTATCGACATATTATCAGAATATGTCGGTTATTATAATGATACCTGAATATAATTAACTATAAGATCCATATCATTCAGCTTCATTATCGCCTTCTTGTGGAGTTTCAGTATTGTGTATGCCATCGCCGTGATAACGCGTTCTCCATCGAGAAGATATATATCCCACACTCTCAAACACAAACTGAATGGCACTCGTTCGACAAAGCACACAAAGAACCATTTGAGAGAATAAAGAATAGCGTCAAGGCCGAACTTATCGAAGTGTTGTTTCAGCTTTGGCATGAATTTCGTTAATATTTTATCGTGATGTTCTAAAAATCTCGTTAACTTCGGGAATCCCTCTACGTACAGTCCGTGCATGGCATATTTTTTATCAGACAATAGAATTGCGAGTGCCCAAAACGCATCCTCTTCATCCATGTACATTAACAGCACCCCGGCTAAACCAGACATACCCTGACAGTAGCCCACTTCAGAATTATACATACTATAGGCACAAAGGACATTAAACAGCGAGCACTGTTTCTCAGAATACCGTTCCCTATAGAACTGATGTTCACGGAACTGTCTGTTCACATCAGAATCTATTTGCCTTACATCCGTAGACCATTGCTTTGCAAGCCTAAGCATCTCCTGGTATTTCCCTACATTCGTTGATTTCATCGAGTTAACGTTCAACAGCTTGCACCATATCTTTATTCGTAGTGAATTTGGAATGCCTTTATATATTCTCCTGTGAAGTTTCTCTTTTGTGGCCGGAGTATCCCAGGAGCCGAGCATCTTAACCCATTTCTTCTCCCTTTCGACTTCCACATTGACTTTTTGTGGAGCCGTCTTGTGCAACAAACGCTCATCATGGATGAAACCATATCTGGAAATATTTTTACAAATATAACTATTTATACCAATACAACTCGCCTTATCATAGGATTGATAAAACCAGATGATGTGAAATATACATTGATGAGATAACATTCAATAAAACTAATCGCAAAGTAAAAAACACAAGCACTAATGTTTATACAGAATTATATAAAATATAAATTGATTAATTTCTATCATAATAAATCTCACTTCTCTATGTTAGTTATTACTTTTGTACAGTTTTGAGTAATAAACAAGTTGACTTTTAGATTTAATAACATTTTTTCAACTCTTATTCTACATTAATACCAATTGAGACTTGTATTTTCATAAAATTTGTATATTTTATATAAATTTGTACAAGAAATCTCCATATATTTGTGAAGTATTTCTACTTAGTTGCTGTGAATGTTTTGATAGAAATTACAGCAAGAATTTTTGAAAGCTATTAAAAAGAGATATACCAAAGGTTGCAATAAGATTTAATTATACACATTACACTTGTTACTTAAGCACAAGACATATTATCTGTTAAATAAAATCTAGAAGTGGCTTACTTCATACTTAAACGATATGGACTTAAGCAAATTCATATCAAAAGCTACATGTAATGAGTATTTTATCAAATAATAACAATAATTTCCAACATGATAATAAAAACAATTGGTTATTAAAACAATTTTGTGGACAATGAGTTTAAAAGAGTGTAGAAAAGAAATTATACTAATGACTTTATCCCTGGGTACATTGTTGCATAGCAAAATAATAAGACTAGTTTTAAACTCAAAATATTAATGTAGCACTGAATCAAAGTAGTGGCTAATGCAAATGTATTAGAAATCGCAATGCAGATTTTATATTCTACTAAAGATATAATATGAAAATCTAAAAAACTTCAGTCTGAAGCTAAGCAAATATTCTACATATTAAGAATGAAAATGAATATTATTGGATGTTTATACTCAAAATAACTGAACAATTGCCATGCCTTTCACATTTGTGATGTTTAAACATTCTTTAATCATAGGTGTAGAATAAAAAATATTATCGCATAGTATAAAGCTATAACAGAAGTTGTTGTACAAAATGAATCTTTAGCTTAATTTGAATATATGAAGTCAATATAAATCATAAGGAAATCATTAAAATACCTATCAGTTTTATGATAATCTTCAAACTCGGGATCCTCCCAGGGGTCTATTTGACCGACGAGATTCTCGCGGCCCCTTTCGTATCTCTGAAAGATACGCTCCCGCTCCTCGGAAGCCCGTGCCAACAGAGCCTCCTCATTCATAACCCAGCCTGCTTGTGCCACATACCGATTCAACACCTACACGACCTAGAATCGTTTAACCGACTTACTAATGCGCCACTTGTGCTTCTTAACTTTCAGTCACACGATCACCCACATCTCAGACTTATAACTTATCTCGCCCGTAACATTTTGAATGACTTTTTTAAATAATCTTTACTGTAGTCTTAGTTCATGGACGCCTTTTCTAAACAAATTCAAACCACGGAATAATAGATCATCTGTTGGATAACATACCGCGAACTAGAACAAAATGCTCTTTTTGTTTACTATGTTTGAACATAAAAGACATTTCTTAAATTAATCATTTTTAACATAATATTATATTTTTAACACCATAGAAACTACACGTCCCATGGAGTTTCGAGATATCAAAAATTAACTACAATTATGCTTTTATTATCTGTGCTGTTAGCGTATCTATAACCAAGGAAACGCCCCTTACAGACAGATACAGATTGTACACGTTTATAGCAACACTTTGTTTATGATTTTAAATTTTATATTATTTAAAGTAAAAATAAATTTGTTTCAAATTCACACAATAAATTAAATAGTACAAAAGACCGCATTGAGAAACATAAAATTTAAATATTGTATCCCAAAAGTTAGTAATATATTTTTATTTCTGTTTTTACTATCAGTTTACCCCCTACACTAAAACCTGTATGGTACTTAAGTTTTATTAATCAGTCGACAACATTTATTTCCTCTAACATTACATATTGATAATTACTCCAATAATTTTAAAGATTTCTATTTCCTGACGTAAATATAAATATATTAACTATCTTCACAATAACCTGTTCGGAATATGTTTTGGTGCTTATCTTTTTATATAAAAAAAGTCGTGTTAGTAACACTATTTATAATTCAAGAACGGCTGTACGGGTTTGGTTTGAAAAAAGGTGGAAAGATAGTTTAGACCTAGAAAAAGGACATAGGATACTATTCATCAGGATCAAAAAAAAAGAAAAAAAACAAGTTGAATAAATCCAAAATCTTATCTACTGTCTTTAATGAGGAATAGAGTTCGCCCGATCAGTTATACTTTTCTATTTCTCAAAATATAGCAGACAAAGTCGCGGGCAAATACTAGTATATTATAAAAATATAATTTTTAGTTTAATAATTGAATACAGAATACAAAAAATTCAATGTCATGTTTGACTTACCGGAGTTTTTAGATTAAAATTGGGATCTGAATCTAGGGTCGAAACTTTTTGCATTACTACGAAAATCACCGTAATTATTTACCATCATGAGAAGTACATATTATAATAAATATTTTAGTAGCTAATTTTTAAGAATCTAATATTTTATTTATGGCATAGTGTTTTACTATTCTCTTTTTCGGCATTGACCGAGCAGAAACGGGAATACTATTCCTTTTGCGGGCAAACTCATGATCTCTAGAATCTAAAATCAAATACGCTCAATTTACGAAAACCATACTTAAACAGACCTAGAAAGATATTTTCCATAGAAATAGGCGGACATTGGATGTTTTTTGTGAAGACACAATTGTTCCAGGTTAAGCAAAACTCTAACATGATAATAGTTTTAATTAAAGAGTACATAGAAGGTCAGCCTTTATTTGTTAATGAAACGTACCAATGAATCAAAAAAAAAATCAAGTTATCCTTCAAAAGTTTCCTTGTATTTCTTCGCAAACCAAAAGGAACGGGGTCCTAGTAAATGGTAACAAAACTATATCGGATTTTATCAGGGCGTTGAATTCTACTTCTACCAAGACATCCAATGTCACGGAACATTACATTTAAACTAAGTTTTTGGATTACAGTATCTAAAGCATTTAAGTGATTATCCTTTGAATATCATCTCTATGAAGCATTTAAGTGATTATCCTTTGAGGCTCATCTAATGTTGTATCTTTTTAGATACAAAAGTAGATGAGTCGCTGTGTTCACTTTTGAGGATCTTTTCTGATGGTAAATCCTCTAGTAAGAGAAACAAGCCACTTCGTTCCAAAAAAAATGAGATAGCTACGTGATAAAATATACAGGTATAAAAATGTTTCTTTATATTAATTACTGTATTTAGTTTTTACACTTTTACGAAGATATTACATAATATATATTTAATTTTTCTACTACATACTATTTGTATTTTAATTAGCAGCATTTGATAATAATTATGAAAATTTTTGTTTTTGACTCGATTACCGGACATAATATGTTTTATATCTCATCTTACAGGTTGCAACAAAGTAGAACATCATAAAAATGCTTTTATAAGTTTAATAGAACTAACTAAACTTATGTAATACAACAAAATATACAATTCATAAACTCCCGTAGTCTTTTCTTGGTATTTTTCATATCGATTTTAGCGTGAGAAACCGATATTTAAAAGATAGTAGAATCGAAATATCGAACGCATTATATACCTTTGTTATCATTCGCCACTTGGCATTTATATAGCGAAAGAGCGTGGCGAAACTCACTATTGGTTGACTTGTTTGGTTTGTTATTAGTCTTGGAAGCTGCAGCAGTATTAATATCGACTAAAAACAAATTACTACTGATAGAATTTAAAACATACTATCAGTTAGTCATTATATTGCTCAAATATTTAGCAAAAAAGTTTAGTGGCATTGGGCCCAATAGTTGAAAGTTTTATTATAAAATCACTTCTAAATCAACATGAATCCTCTCACACAAGTAAGTAGTTATTTCTTTACTTTGTTGGACTATTTAATAGTAATTTAAAAATAATATTTCTATTCTCGGTTCTTACTATTTTATAATAATGTTATTAGACATGATAAATACAAAGTTCAGTTTATGTAATTATATATTTTCCCAACGTAGTCCAAAGTTCAATGTCCTCTTTAAAAATTTTAATATGTTTGTTTCAAGGAGTTTGTTGACCAGCAGAAGGTTTTTAATTAAAATTAACGTATGGCAAAGTTATTTTTTAAGTATTTTATATCCTACCTACTTAAATATATTTCGTAAATTCTAAAAATTTTCCCGCCTGTTAGAATTCTTGGAAGTTTTGGTTTTTCAAATATTGTAATATTGGAAAACTTCATTAATTGATAGTATTTTGTTATATTTTATAACATTTAAATACAATTCATGTATTAATTATTACTATTACTTATGTTGCTTTAAGAAGGAAAAAATCTAAGTTGCTCCTTGTATAATTTTACATTTATTAAGTTTTTTTGTTAGAATTTATTAATGCCATTATCTGTACTCATGCATTGTGTATGAAACAATTGAATTTTTTACCAAACTTCACAAAAAAGGTTATATCACTTCTTACATGTTGTCTAATTATGTATATATTTGTTTCTTATCTGCATTGCTTTTATGTTCCTTGTGGTTGAATTTATTACAACTGTAAAACTGTCATTAGCTATCAGTCAAATAAGACTAAGAAGATAATATGTCTTTACCAATCAATCTAAGCTGCAAAATTATTAATTTGTTATTATTTATTTTCAGTCAATTATCCTTAATATGGCTGATTTATGTCAGTATGAACTATTACTGATAGTTTTTATGTGATACAAATTGTGATTATATTTCAGGTGGTAAGAGCAACTCGTCCATTGTACCGTAAGCTGTCCACAACAGCAACACTAGCCTCGGCTCCAAAACCCATCCCACCCACTGGATTATGTTTCGGTAATACAATTATTGTATTAGACTTTGCGATTTCAGATAATGTATTTATATGTACTTCAATGCCTATCTTATCATGGACTTAACTTCTAAATAATCATAAAATTTTATTTATCAAACCACCCACCTTCGCATCTAATATGATATGTGATAATCGGCATACCAAAATTGTACTCATTTTATCACATAATTAATCTGTCATAAAAATTGACTGATTATAAAGGGCGAGTTTATGTTGAAAAAACTAAAACTTATTGTTTGTTATTTTATAAATTGCAGAAAAAATTATTATTCACATTTTTTTTTATATTATGCAATATTATGCAATACGTCTGTATAAAAGTAAGAACATGCTCACAAAATAAAAACCTGCATATATAATTTGTAATTCTATTCTGCAATACCCGATGTGCATTCTGCAATATGTAAATGCAGTTGCTTTTGTATATTCATCCAAGCTTTGCATCTTTATTGCCGAATCAAACATTCAAATTACTAACATAAAAGAAATTGTGACTTGAATCTTATACCACTTATATATATTAAAGTGACAAATTACATTTATATTCATAATAAAAGTAAACTAAAGCCAAATTATCTGTTTGATAATGTTATTTTCATAATCTGAAACAAATTTAATGCCATCCAATCAAGTGATGGTGAATATTTATGTACCAAAAACTGTCAATGACAATAGCTGTTTGAATAAAATATATGTACTTTATTTTTGATAAACAGAAGTTATCATGTGTACTTACAACTTGACAATGAATATTTATTGGTATTAAATTCAGATAATGAGTTAAGAGTTATGGTTATTGGATAATTTATATGAAGTGACGATAAAACTTTCTCAACTCCTACAAGCTGGGCCAATTAACATTGTTTACAGAGTTAAGTGAAGAGCAGAAAGCGTTGCAGGATCTGGCTCGGAAGTTCACCAAAGAGGAGATCATACCAGTGGCTGCTCAATACGACAAGAGCGGAGAATACCCGTGGCCGATCGTAAAGAAAGCATGGGAAGTCGGCCTCATGAATGGCCACATCCCCGAACATTGTGGTAATGTTATTTAGCCATAAACATTACTTTAATTATAATCCTTAATCAGCTTACGTGACTCAATTCAAAACTAACGTTTTACACGTGTAAAATTTACATCTATTAAAATTAATCGGTCTATGTTTTTTTCTTTTATTGTGGTATTTAAAAACTTGTAAAATTGGTCACAATTTTCAAATAGGTCTATCAAGTTTAAAGTATGTATAATAGTATGTAGGTTGTCAAAACTGCTGTTGTCTATGGTGACTTCACTTGTAGCTTGGGTTGGAAGCTAACTACGAATATCTGTCTATGGTAGGGGCTTAAAGTATATTTAAAATAATTTCCACAGGAGGTTTAGGTTTAGGTGTGTTCGACAGTTGTCTTGTGTGTGAAGAGTTGGCCTATGGCTGTTCCGGTATTATGACGTCGATTTATATCACCGAAGTTGGAGTGAGCATTACTGAATCGTTGAGACTTATATGTTAATGCATGTTTACAGTTAAAGTAGGTCTGCACTGTTTGTTACTGTGCATACATACATTTAACGGTGTTTTTTTTTACATTGAAATTCTTTCCTTTCCTGGGTGGGTTAATTTTTTGTTTGATTTGTTCTACTTTGTGAAGATGGATGTCATGCGGGCGTGTTTTATTGTTTTTTTTTTTGTCATTACATATCAAGTTAAAATTATATATAAATGAAATGTTTTTTCGTTCATACAAGTATTCACAGCTTTTTATCGGCTACAGGAAAATATGTCTTTTAGAGTATTAGTTGAATAGTACTAATTTCAGGGGGCATTGGGAACTTCGGAGTTTTTGACGAGTGCATTATCGGTGAAGAATTCTCCTTTGGGTGTACCGGGATAAGCACTGCCGTTGGCGGGACGGGTTTGGGAGTAAGTCTCAACATTTAAAGCGTAGACCAGGTGTAAAGCCGCCATTTTTACGTTATGTTTCAAAGGTCTCGTTTTGGGGATTTATGTCTGTATACGTTTATTTGGAGTATTTTTGTTTTATTTTAATTTTTTATATTGTTGAGCTTTATAATTGAATTGAAATCCGAGGGAAAATTTGACGATGTGATTCAAATCTCTAGATTATCGAGATTCAATCGCTTTATCGATTATCTACTCTGCGCTGACTAAAAACGGGGAATCAAGCATTCTATATATTTAACACTCAATTAGGACGAAGTATCACCTAACAGGGTTTCCTATATAAATCCTGCACTTTGCTTACAGCTTGCGGTTTTTTAACCGGTAGAATGACAGTCAAGCACTATCCAGTCACTAGCAATAATATATATTAATAGCAATTATCTACAATATATTTGGTTGCAATGAAATTTATTTTCTTATCTACTAGTTATTTTCGTAGTTACTATAAATACTATAAATTACTGTAAATGCTAATTTTATGGAAGTCGTAGCTTGTAAGTGGCTATTATAATATGTATAATTCGTTTGTCATGTAAATTTTTTGTATATCTTCTTACATACGTCAATTTTGTTTTTTATATGCATTATTTCGAATTTATTTTTTATGCATCATTAAGGATTTATTTCTCATTAAACACTTATTGCAAGCTATTACGGGACATCAATCACGCTTAAGCTTATTTTTGTTGTGAAACAAATTTATTGTTCTATCTCTCTCATTTGTGGACGTTTTATTCAAAATCTAAATTTTTCAGAATTCTGCATACATTATTTTTTCTTATGAAGAGCTTGCGAATTGTTTAGGTTTAGGAAATACAACAAAATATTTATTTGAAATTATTTAACTAATTTAATAGAGGTGTTGGAAGAAACTATATTTATGTTAAAAAAATATAAATAACATTGGTTTCTTTGTCAGCGAGGATAATATAAGAATAACTGGAATATTTTTTTTGATTCACAACAACAATTTTTGGGAATATTTATTTTGTCTTAATTCTCAATGATAAGTATTTATTTTTCCCTTCTGTTGTTAGATCTTAAATGTCAGTAATGTTTTACTAATTTTAATAATTTACCCTTTATTGTAACTGAGAAAATTTAGTGGGCATTTTTTGAATTAAATCAACTTATATATTTGTATACTTTTTAATACACTCTGGCAGACATACCATCTTTGCATAAGTCTAAAGTACCATTTACAATATACAAATACATAGTTTCATAATAAGTCATCACTTTATTCGGACTTGGTATTGAAATTACCTATGCCATTCATTATATACTTTTTTAATATATAATCTTGTTATATATTTTGAGTTTTAGCTACAATCAACTACTGTATTGCACTTGCACTGCACAACATATGACATTAGTTTTATTTCAATGTGTTTCCGGTGTAGGTGATTTTAATTATCATGATTACCGTCTAAAGTGGTAATCAAATCTTTTAGGTGGTATGGACGTTGGTGTATTTGATGGGTGTTTGGTCGCTGAAGAGTTGGCATTCGGATGTACTGGGATCATGACAGCAATGGAAGCAAGCGGTCTGGGTGTGAGTGTCATGTGTTACATGTAGCTTGGCTTCCATCATCCATTAATTCAACCCAAATAATACCATCATCATTTCTAACACCTATTAACTTAAGTGCACTTTGTCCAATAATAATATAAGTTATCTGGTAGGCATGTGATATTAGAAATAATTGTTTGATAACTCCAAAACGTGATCTATTAGAATAACACATAAATTATATTTTTTATATATCTATAATTAGTTATTAACCTGCCCATCATCGGCACTTGTACTATGAGTTTGCAAAATTTGTAACTCGAACTATATTCTAATAATTCGTTGAAATTTTTTATTGTTTATCATATTAAAACCCGCAGTATTTGGTAGATTTTAGATTTGTAATTAACTATCATCGGTAATTAATTAAATTAAATGTGTTAATTGTGTTTTAAATTAAATTCATATTAAACTTTATAATGATAATAAAGTACATTTTTATAGTATGGGTATAACCTTAGAAATACTAATGGCGTTCTTCTATTAGTCTCGATAACATTTTTTTTAAATTTTCCCGCCTTCGAAATGTTTCTTTTCTTACAAGCCGTCCGTGTTTTAGCAAACCCCCGTCATCATAGCCGGTAACAAGGAACAACAGAAGAAATACCTCGGCAGGCTGATCGATGAGCCTTTAGTGGCGGTTAGTAAACTATACCTACCATATAAATATGTAGTACTATAACTATTCCATATAAATTACCAAATTCAGTTTATATTGTGAATAAAATATATTAAAAAAACATCTTAAAACAATTACTTTGCTTATATTTTCAATGGTTTAGTTGAGAAATTGCTTTAAAAAAAATAATTGAGTATCAAATTCAATAGGATTGTTTTTTTTATTAATGAATTCAGTACCTACTACATAGTCTGTACAACGATTATTTTAACCTGACAATGAATTTGGCTTAATATCGAAATAAGTGAAATGTACGATAATTTTATTATATTGTCTTAATTTAGGCGTACTGTGTAACTGAACCGGGTGCCGGTTCAGATGTGGCTGGTGTCAAGACAAGGGCTGAGAAGAAAGGCGACGAATGGATCCTCAATGGACAGAAGATGTGGATCACCAATGGCGGTGTAGCCAACTGGTAATTAACCGTCATTTAAAATCAATGAAAAAGTGACATTTGATGACACTTGTCTTTATACCATAGACAATATGTAGACCAGCGATGAATTAGACCCTAAAGAAAAACTCTAAACTGAAAAAGCACAAAAATTACTCATTTTAAATAACATAGAATATATCAGGCATTGACGATATAAATGTATAAGAAGGTCTCTAATCTTATGTCCTGATGATGTCTTTAAATATACTTATGTTTTCTTTTTAATTATTTTAGGTACTTCGTCTTGGCTCGTACGAATCCTGATCCGAAGTGTCCAGCCAGCAAGGCATTCACTGGCTTCATCGTGGAGAGAGAATGGCCTGGAGTGGTTCCTGGACGCAAAGTTAGTATCGAGGACATATTTTTTACGTCATATTTATGTGCAGACTTAAAACATGATAAAATATAGTCATTTTAATACTCTCTATTTCTTTTACATGTAAAATTATTGTTTAAATAATAAATACCTATTTGTGGTTTAAAAATTAAAACCTCACAAAATATGACTTAATATTTTACATCAGAAACTGCTAAGTTTTTTTTTAGAATCGATTTTGTGATATGCTTACGATTTTATTATGACGTATAAATACAATTTTTATTCTAATAATTTAAGTAAATTTAACTATATTTCAATTATGCTGACTATCCTTTTGATGATTTTTACTCTGATTGCCTTCATATCAACAAATATTAAGAACACACAACTTCAAGAAAATAAATGACTTTTATAATTTTCCAACAGCTTTACATTTTGATGTATAATTTGACTAAATTTAAAAACCAGGTTATTCTATTAAGTTGTTCAGTTTAATAGGAAAAATTGAAGGAAAATCGGTTAAATAATATTTTGCATTGCCATTTTAAACTGTTTATGCTCAAAACTTTTGTTTAAGCTTGAAAATAAAATTATCAGATACATATGTTTTAAAAAAGCTGACTAATTAGTTATCTTCACTATTATATGATATTATTTGTAAACAATTTCTGCTATGAATTATTTTTCACCATATTCCTCGTATAATACAGGAGCAGAATATGGGTCAGCGTGCGTCCGACACTCGCGGTATCACCTTTGAAGATGTCCGTATTCCTAAAGAAAATGTCCTAATTGGCGAGGGCGCTGGTTTCAAGATAGCTATGGGAGCCTTCGATAAAACACGCCCACCGGTATATACTAATAATAATCTATATTCATACTATCTGCACCCCGCGGTGTTACCCGCGGATTTCCGGGATGTAAAGTTGCCTAAGTGTTATTCCTGGACGTCAGCTTCCTGTCTACAAAATTTTATCAAAATCGGTTCAGTCGTTTGAGCGTGAAGAAGTAACAAACAAACACACACACACACAAACTTTCGCAATTATAATATTAGTAGGATTATTTAATTAAAACATGTATGATTTTTTTCTATTAACACCTATCTATCAATAATATCACTTCATGAATTTGTCACCTCGACAGCATCCCTGTTTTTTACAACTAAATATGAGTAGTCCTTTGAAATTTTTATAAAATATTTTGACTATAAATACTATATTTAAGTTATAATGAGTATAGTAAGTATTTGACATTTATATAATTATTATAAGAAATGTAGTTTCATATTACTGATTTAACAGTTAGAATTATAAAATAATGTTTATCACAGGTTGCCGCAGGTGCCACAGGTTTGGCCAGCCGAGCTTTACACGAGGCCACTAAATACTCTTTGGAACGTAAGACATTTGGTGTGCCAATCGCTCAACATCAAGCTGTTGCCTTTATGCTGGCTGATATGGCCATTGGTGTGGAAACAGCTAGATTGGCCTGGCAGAAATCTGCATGGATGGTAGACCATGGTACAGTCTCTTTGAATTAAGAATTCCTTATATTTGTTCTTTATTAGACAACTCATAATGCCATTTAATAATGCAATGCCATTTAAAAATAATGTATCTATGTTAATATTTAATAGGAAAATTTAGAATGGAAGGGTGAAGTAGTATGTATGTGTAAGCAAGCAATTTAATTACAAATTTTTGGTTTAAACAATGGTTATTAATAACAGAACTTGGTCACTCATCACTGTGACACACTCATATATATTATTTTTAAATAATTATCCTTTGGTTAGTGAATTCTTTTCTTTAAAGATTGGTTCTTGTTTTTTAGCTATAACCTTTTGTTTTGATCCAAAACAATAACTAACTTGTATATATGATTCTCAGAGAAAAGATATTAATCCTAGTTCACTTCATCAATTAACAGATTAAATTAAACGCCATGTTCAACGCCATATCCAATAGTCACATATTAATCTTTATATCAAATATTTCAGGCCAAAAGAACACGGTTCTGGCGTCAGTTGCTAAATGTTTTGCGTCCGAAGTGGCGAACAAGTCGGCGGCCGATGCAGTGCAAATCTTTGGAGGAAACGGGTTCAACACAGAATATCCAGTAGAGAAACTTATGCGCGACGCTAAAATATATCAGATCTATGAAGGAACCTCCCAAATACAAAGACTCATCATCTCAAGGGAGATTCTTACAGCAGCTAAACAGAGCAACGCATAATGAATTCTATAATACAGATTTGTAAAACTTCTACGGTCTATACTCATATACAAAGTTTTATAACATGTTTTTTTTGTAAATCACAATATATATTATGCTTCATGGTTTTTAATATGCTTTATAGTTGATAAGCAAGTTTTGGATTGTTATTTTTAATTGGTTTAAGAAATAAATATACCTTTTGGAACAAAGTACATATGTATTTATGAATGTAATAAAAAGAATAAAATAGTTTGTTATAATTATTATCTTTTACTTTATAAAAACAGGATTGATTTAATCAATCAGTGTGATTATGTCAAATCTGTTAAACAATTAGAAAAAAGGATAATAAAAATGAAAATTTTAATCTTGAGTAGCTCAAGTTTCCTCTACACAGTACTCAAGATTATAAACTCAGCCAAAAAATTAAAACATTTTCATTGGCAAAACACTCCATGATTCCAGTCTGAATGAATAGCATAAAAAATTAATGAGAATATGAAACATGTATAACAATTAAATATTGCTAAGTAGAATAATTATGATAATTTGAATACTAACATTTTCTTACTGCTTGAAACTTAAATTTCAGTGATATTTTATTGGCTTCTGTATACAGGAGAATGGTGATTGATATTTTTTAATTAATTCCAGAATTTTATATATGAAATATTTTCACCAAACTGGACTTATTGACAGAAAGATATTTAATAACTTCCAGTACCTTATTCAGGTTTTGAAATTAATTATTTTACATCATTTAACACTTACATTGTTTATACTGAGTTGTTAACAAAAAGACCCATATATGTATTTTTTTTCAACCTATTGTTAGTGCAGTTCTTATTTTGTAAGTAATCAATAATTTTTTTTGTTTTAACATTTTCATGGAATTCAGTGAAGACAAATACAATAATCATAAATGAACTATCGCAATACAATAACATTGAGAACTCATTTTCATTTTTCAAAATGAAAAAGTTGTGAGAGTATAAGTTAAGAAGTGTTTCAAGTACTTTTAATATATTATAAATCTCACAAACCTCTTGTAATGTATTGTATAATATATATCAGTAAATATTGCCAATAAGTAAAAAAACAAGAAAGCATGATTTGGAGAATAATTAGAATAAAAAACTAATATTTTTTCATTTTACTTCGACTAAATAGCTCATGAATTTCGTTCTAACCGTTAGTAGATGCAAATAAAGCCATAGGGGATGATTACACCATCTTAGTAACATCCTATTCATTCTTGTCTAGAATTAACAAAAATTATTAAAAGGAACAAACGCAGAAGCAAGCAAACTGACCCATACCTTTCCATTAACTCTATCATGTCTTTAAAATAACTCTTAATCTGGTTACCCATACTTGTCTAAGTAATTTTTATTAATCATGCTTATAACTTGTCGGTAAGTTATCCAGTGCTTATTAGATTTTACTGTTCTTTTGACATAAATACTTAATTAATAAGTTATGAATTTGGGCACAAAAGTTGTCAACCATCAGTATCGTATACGTCAACGGTCAATGTCTATTGTTGTTGTTGTTATTAATTAATTCATATTTTTACACAAATAATTAAGGATTTCGATTAAAGGAATATTTTTTAATATATTCGTTAATTACTTTTTTTCTAAGACTATTATAAATTATTTTGTTAATTATGTATTCTTTATTTGAACTGGCAACTGAATGTTTTTGGTTTGTTCAATAGATGGCGCTCCTTTAAACCGGATGTTATAATCAAATTAGGTTATTTAAAAAATATTTAAGTTGTTTTAATTGAAAGTAATATTAATATAAGGCATGAAACAAAAAAACTTTAATTTATTTAGATTATTTAAAAGTAAAATATTTAAATTGTTTTACTTTATGAATATTTTGTGATCGCACTCAAACAGATTGACCTACATTCAAAGCCCTTGTGAAAGAATTGTGCAATAGAAACGGACATTTATTACACAACTCAACGTATTCATAAGCAAATGTATTCATTTTGCACTGTTTAAAAAGATTTTTTTACAAAATAAAACCCTCTTGAGATAGAGCATTTAAGTACTCTTAAAGTGTTGTTCTTTCTTATTCAAGATTATATATAGCGCATTTATTAGATTAAAAATATCACAATTAAATATTCGATAATTTTACAGGATATTTTAAAAAAATAGGCCATGACACACTTTTTTCGAATTAGGTTAATTTCTCACTGCCCTTTACCGACTTATTTCAATGTCAGTCATGAGTAGAGTAGCTCTATTGAACCCGAGTTATGTCGGATTATCAAAGTGTAAGTGAAGTGGCCTAGAGACCTACATTTAGTGTTTTATAGGGAATTATTGATATTTATGTAAAAAAATTGAGATACAATATTTTTCTAAACGTAGTAGATGACATTTTACTTTTCTTGCGGACAGCTAAATTTAGTTGTTTCGCTTAACCGTCCATAAATGATGCATGAAGACTCTCCGAAAATGAGTGTTACGCAGGGTCTGAACGCTTCGATGAGCCAGCCAAAGAGTGATATGGTGTTGGACGGCACTGTGGAATATGAAATGTCTTCCACAGAGGCCAAGCCGAGCGAAAATATACAAATGGACCTTAAAATTGCGTATGCAGATCCTTTAAATGGTACGTACACTTGTTCTGCTATTTACATATTATTAGTTATGTCTACATTTCTATAAGAACCTATTTATAGATTACATTGATTCAGCCGGATGTGTTCGTTGATGAAGTTAAAAGCATAAATTTCATCACAGACCTTTAAGAGATCAATTAAAAAGAATAATAGTAAAACGTGATGTTATAATATACATAAACATGTACGTATATTAGATAATACGATTCGTATTAGAGTCCACTTAGATTTATTGCTCTCAATAAACTTGTTTTGGGACATGAGGCCTCTGGTAATGTTTTATTAATACTTATATTCAAAACGGACAAGTGCTGGTTGTATAATAATTACATTGCATTGTGGAGACTAGAGGTAGAGGCTACCTGCTCGGTACATTCGGTCGCACGGTGTGGCAACGTCGCATTGGCTTTTCGCGCTATCCTACAATAGAATGGGTTATGTGAAACGGTGTTTTTAGTCATTGAAACCAGTTGCTGTAGATAAAGTAACTAAAATTATAATAGCGTTCCGTCACTGAACGTGTCGTCACATGCGATCGTTTGATGGCATCATGGTACTTTGTATGCCGGTGGTGCGCTAGCCTGCGATGCTTCTTGATTTCGTTCGGTGTCACTGGGGCACGTTTGATTTCTGCGGTCCGCAGTGCATGACTACTGACTACAATACACGTCTCTTACATGATGTTGAGTAATAGTCCTGACGTGAATAATGTCAATTGCGCATATAAGAAAAAAAGGCTGCGTTATTTCGTTTTCTGGCTATATGGTTTTATATATAAAATACGTATTACATTCGTACGTTACGCTCTATAATGTAAAATTAATGATTTTGGTTATTCATAATGAGAAACGATTATTTTTTTGGATCATCTAACGTTAAATTGCTATGACAAATTCTAATAATAAAAAACATACATCCATACCAGTTGAGTATATGACTGCTTTGTTCGGAAAAAGTATGACTATGTACTTGTAGTTAATTGAAACTGAAAAACATTCGCCACTAGATGGCATTGCTAGTGCCTTCGGAGTTAACGTGATACATTTTACATCAACTCCCAATTATTATCAAACGAAAATATTCATGTCAGTAGGATAATGTTATATGTATCAAAATCATGTTGGAATTAAATAAACGATTTTCTTCTAGGATATTAAATTGACAATTTTTTATAAAGAACTTCAGTTGGAGTGTTCTAGAAACGTTTTTTAATGTTATAGCGTAACAATTTTCGAAATTATGAGAAATAATTATTTTATTTGATAAAAAGCGTATAAATTAAGACGATAATTTCGAATTATTCTCGTCTATAGAGCAATGAGCAAAAGATATAATTGTCAATTTTATATATATGACTCAGTACACAGGAATTTCGATAATATATTTAATTGGAAAAGTAGTATAACGATATTACTATTACTAAAAATTTAAAATAAAAAACAGATGTACAAATCTATAATGGACCTGGCTGAAGTCAAAACTATATCCAAGTAATAAAATATATTAATCGGGTCGAATTCTCTTCTAGTAAATTAGTAAGTGATTGGTGTCATTCTTATACATTTCCGACTATGAAAAATAAGGGTTACGTTTTACTAACCGTCGAGCGTTGGACGAGACTTGTAATTTTGTGGGCTATTTCGGTTCCAGTCACCAACTTCCTGATGTGTCAGGATTCACTGGCTGTGACCAATAGGTGCTTATCATTAAACCAGTCTTCCAGAAACCTTATTTAAACCTCGCGCTAAAGCATGTCAAGCGGCTTTTGTATACGTTTTGTGTTTTTGTTATTTGTATCATAATTTGAAATTGATATTTACTGAATATTATTTTTCGCTAAAACATAATGCTTTAGATCGTTTAATTAAAAAATAAGTGTGAATTTTAAGTAGCTATTTTATTCGGATATTACTAGTTTTATTTTATTTCTATATTATCAGAAAGTTTCGATTACTAATTAGTAATTAGGCTTCATGGTTAGGAAACGACCACGGGCATTTTCATCTTGGCTGCCGTGATCATGGTTGCTGAAAAGTACTAAAAACGTGTGGAAAATCTAGAAATAACATAACAAAAAACGCGTAATAATTCTAAAAACTTATTTTCATTGGAATATACATATATTTCTATTCATAATAACCTTTAATATATGAATTGTAAAGATATTTTTTATTATAGAGCAGAGATTATTTTTATGATTACTAAAATATTAGTGACGTTAATTACTGTGAGTTCAATACATACGTCAACCATGGCTAAAGATCAACGAAATATTTATTTAAAAATTTAACTTTCGTTATAAACTCCCATTAAAGCGTCCCCCGGATGATTATTATCACGATAAGTTCAATTAAAAAATAATATTAACGAGTTATTTCTTTGTTTGACAATGTATAGTTATTATTAGCTTTCGACATTATTTAAACATATGACAAAATGGTTCTTAGATATATCTGTTCATAATGAAATTTAGGCTTTAATTCTCCACTTAAGTCATTATGACGTTGTATTATAAAAAAAATATACATCTTAATACATGGTTACATAGCTTAATATATGTTAAATTTATATACTTACCTACTATATATTTACTTATGATCATCATCAATTAATAATTTATATACCTATATAAATTTGTTGTCTAGAATTGATGCCATTTATAGTATGGATAACTTTTGGATCATACTTCCGACATATCATGCAAAAGTAAAAATTTATTAAAGTGAAAACAATATAGGTAATACATTGTTTCGTTTAGTTATCTGATATTAATTTACATGGAATTAATAGTATGTAGTTTCTTGGTACTATATCAATAAATAGTTGGTTTTTCAAATTGTACAGTAAAGTCAAAGCCATATAATTAACATGTTCAAATATGAAAATCTATGTTAGTTTAATCTAGTTCAGATATCGGTTTACAAATTGTTAGTTTCACAGATTTTTTTTTTTATAAAAATATAATATTTTTCAAGTGCATCAATTAATACATTACATTAACAAAAAACATATATGAATATTTTTTAAGGAATTTTAGAGTATATTCTGAATTAATTTTAAATTATAATAAATATCTTTAAGAAAATTTAATTAGAAAAAAGATTTAAGGTACACATTAATCATATAATTTATATTTCATTATACACTAAACAGAATAAATCTTAACTCTATCAATTCGTAAGCGTATGGAACAAAATTATAACTGATGATGGATAATAAAACGAAAGACAGAAGCAGTTTTATTAATATATCAATAACTTGCAGGTTTCTACGACATTTTGTTTAAAGAAGATTTAGTTCAATTATTCGATAAATATATAAAAAAAAGAATTTCCCAAAAAACAATTTAGGATATACAGGGTGACTGGTGAATTACTATTTACTATTTGAGGACGTGATATTTGACGATCATATATGATAAAATAAAAATTAATATAACATAAATATTAATAAACTTCTGAGTAAAGTTAACCAAAAGTTATGTTATTAATTACGCATCGTGTGAACACCCTACAGATTAGGTATACACACACACACACACACACGCGTCCACACTTGGAACGTGTCTACACTTTATTTATTTATACGGAAATTTGGTCCAAAATTAAGTACCTATTTTTTTTTCCATAATTCGAATGAGAATCATGTACCGAGTATTCTCCTTAAATATTGATAGTAATTCACAAGTCACCCTGTATACTTAAGTTATATACATATGACGAACGAATATTGTCATTCTGAATCCTCTTTTTCTTGTATATTAAATGACGCGCTGATTCCGCTCATCCTATTAGCAAATAAATACTAATTGGTAGAAAAATATTGGAATTTTACCGTATAGTACTATTATTTCAACAATATTATAATAACAACTCAAAATGATCGTAAATTTATTCATTTACGTTTTAATTTAAGAAAATATCTAGTAGATATAAATCTTATTGTCTTAAAAGAGCTCCAAGGTTCATATTAAAATTGATATGCAAACAAAGCCACGTGTAGTAACTAGCTTATATTTGATTTTATCAATTTCATTAAGTTGCAACTCATCAAACTCAAGTTATTTCATCTTTAAAAACGATCTCCCATTAGAGAATTTCTATATTCTTTTAGGAACATAAAAATAAAACTTTTTCATACCGAAATTTTATCAGTCGATGTTAATTCTTGCTAAAACATTATAATCGTACTCTGTCAGGGTATTGCGTCATGGAGAATGCTAGTCTTTCATAGCAAATTATAAAATGAATATTGATGTTCTATGTACAATTCTACATACCTACCATATACATGATATGAACTATCTACTTACTCTACATTAGTTTCTATGAGAAAATTCACTTGGTATAAGCAAATTAAACTGAAGAATAGATTTATTTTAATTGAAATAAAAAAAAAGTGAAACTATAATGAAATTAAATCGAATAATAGTTTTAATCTCGAACGCGGGGCAAGGTTGGTGCGGTCCTAGCTAAAAATAGAACTGAATAACTTTTAAGCACGCATACTGTGACACAAGCGATAACAGTTTTCTATATAAAAACGACGTTTCTATATATGTTTCTATATATATATGTATGTATATGACTTGTAAATTATTAGCATGCTGTTAAAATACGTTGTAGCTTAATGAGAATTGTAAGTAATTTGGACGATAATTGTTCGTATAAAAACAATGTTTTGTTATGGAGTGGTCTCCTATCAGCGAACCTCGTCAGTGACCCACTGACCTAGTTATGCGTAAGAGCGGCTATCGTATATCCAACAATATTAAACCGTATTTATATTGTACATAAAATTCAAAATGCAACAACGTTAGCGTTCCTGTAGTTAGAACGATAGTTTTATAGGTAAGCTTTTCAAACACTAACTACTGTTCGACCCTTGTTAAAATCAGATTAATGTAATAAATAAAAAATATATAACTGCTATGTAAACTATGGATTAATAAAGTATAATTTTTAAGTTTATTTGATGTCCGCTTATATAGTCAATTACTGTATAATCCATGTTGTTGGCACCGACGCTATTGCTTCGAAATCTTTAAAAAGAATTAATATACTTCATTACATATTTAATATAATAATAGCAGAGCAATACTCTTATCTTTTAAAACATACGTAACCGTGTTCATTACATACGAGTAGTGAAGAACGATGTAAAAGAATTTATGAAAAAAAAAAAAAAAAGAATTGTGCCAATAAAAATAATTCGAATGACGCCCAGCTCCATTGACCTGACATACATGCCTTGCCAACAACTGTGACACAC